CGGATCCAAGGGGTAATTGGGACCTGCATAAATGAAGAAGAGTCGCCACGTGCTGTAGTCGTGTGGTGAACCGCAAAGGAGTCGAAAGCGTTTCGAAGCGTAGGCAGGCTGGAAAAAAAACGAATCGGTCCTGGTGAGAGGGTCTGGATCAGGATTTCCATCTTGGAGACTGTCTACTGATTAGGGAGAGAGCAGAATAATCTGAATAACTGCTTGTACGATCCCGCTCCAGTCCAGCCTTGCCAAAAAGTCAGTGGAGGGACTTATGGTATGCACGTCACACCCAAGATAGGGTCTAATAGAGAGAGGCATCTAGGACTCTGTATCCTTAACTATCAGGGCATGTTATCTCAAAGAGTGGGTTGTAGGTCAAAGGACACAGGCCTTTGAATTCGAGGTCTGAAGTCTAGTTATCCCTATGAAGGAATATCCCCCATCTTCGCCTAGCGACACGTGATCTCATAGCGTTCTCTAATACATAGATCAAACGAAAAGTCCCTTCGCTAATGACAGCTGACTCCAGAGAATAGATATAGTGAAACAAGGGGCATAGCTGCCACCGTACGAAGCAGGGGCTGTCCAGGTTGAGAATGTTGGGTAGTCAAATCCGAACCCGACACCGTTCCTGGGCAGTACTCCAGCGGGAGGTTGCGTGCCGACTTTGTGACGTCAGTGTGGGATAGGACATCAAACAGGGTTCCCCCATAAAGTCCAAACAGTAATCCTTGTCTGTACCTGAATAAGCGGATGAGCAAAAATCAAAACCAGGACGGCTCCCGTGAGGGGATTAGTGTATAGAAGGAGGGTCCTCTATGCGAATCGTGTTTTCCACATTCATTCTCAGTGGAGTAGGGGCAGTCTTGCCACCTATCCCAGGACTGCTAACAGCCAGGGAACCCAAAATCGACCGGGAACTCCGGTCTTTCAACCAATGCGTACAGTGTATCTCCAGACCGGGGTGTGGGACTTCCCCATTCCCGCCATCCTAGTAAGGCGGTGCATGTTTGCTCTATGAATGCCTCAAAATCTCATGCCACCCTTGATAGGGGAAAAACTGTCTGGGTAGTTTGTCCAAAATGGTGTGAGTAAACATAACCAGAGTGCGCTTGCTTGTTCGGTACAACGCAGGTTATACCAAAACCTACACACCTGCAAAAACTGGGGCTCACCCATTAGCCGTACAACCTCCAGGAGTAAATCCAACAGGGAGGTATAGGGGCACCCACAAAGAGGGACAATCCTAGGAGCTGTACCGAGACAGCCAGTTCAAAACAGCCCATACCCTGTCCAATAAGGCATCAGGGAAACGTTTAAATAAGGTGGGGAATCTCCCCCAGTAATACCTCAGTGAGTATATCCCGAGTGGGGATACAGTGGCACGGGTCCAGCAGACCAATCATAGGGGATGTACCAGTGAAATCTAGTTTAAACGTGCAATACCATGCTTGATCAGGTAGCACCTCTATAACGAAAATAGTAGCACAGTCGTTAGATCTAATGGAGGGGTTCTCTCCTCTTACCTAGTTGCTACTAAGCAGCGTCTCCTCACTAATCCGGTGAGGTAGCCATAGTCTTTATTGCAAGAGCTGTAGCATCAGCAGTAAACCATGGTATGTAGCACAGACCTCCGAATTGAGTTGACTGTAGGCAGGCCACCCCTCTACGAAGTCACCGGTGTCCTGTACTGGCATAAGCCCGTAAGATAAACAAAGGTTGACGGTAGGATAAATATCCCTGTTGAGCAGTATCAAGTGATGGGTTCGCCCTCAAAGAGGGGAAGCAGAATCCAGTACTGTAAGAAACTGTTATGCCAGCAGTAAACTGAGGAAACAGTATATGTAGTTATCTTGGCCTGTGCACCTGAGGGGAGCTCAGTAGCGGGTTGAGTGTATGCCAGTCTCAGGCTGACAGTGTGAGAGGACCGTACCCGCTAATAATAAACTCAGTGTCTATGTCAGTGTCTGGCTCCGTATATGAGAGTGGGTCACACTCCAAGCCTGCAATTTGCATCAATATCAGCCTCGGGCTGAGGTTAGGGGAGGGTCGCACCCTCTAATGGTAAAATTAGTGTCAGGTTCTGTATATGAGAGGGGGTCATGTAAATTAGTCTCTGCCTCGAGTTGAGGTTATGAAATCACTCTCTGTATCAGTCACCTGAGAGGTGGACTCAAACTGGGAATAACCAATACTAATAATAGTAACAATCTAGCCTAGGGACGTGTCCATGAGTCTAATAGTGGGGGCAGGCCGAGAAACTGCAATAGCTAGAAAAAAATACGGAACCTACAAACGGCCGCACTTGCGTGGGACCCAGGATGGCCGCTGGTAGCCTGAGGAAATGCTGGAGACGTTCTCCGCGATCCACGAGAGCCCGGAAAGTCAGAGGAGGCCAAGTTAGGCCTCTCGATGACCCAAGCGATAGGAAAAAATCGGAAGACACGAAACAAAGAAACGACAAACTTAAAGTAAAGTTCAGATAAAGGAAAAATATATACCTCGGAGGGAAGGTAAAATAATGGACAGGAAAAGCAAAGACAGGTAAACCCAACCGAAATAGCCAAGAACTATGCATGATGTAGAAATAACTACCTAGATATAAAAATGGATACTGGATATGCAGCTAAAGGATTAGTTGCTTAAAGTCAAGGAATTCCTGTGCTCCCATGTTGGCGTCTGAGCACTGGTCCCTGTATTTGCATCAGAACGAAACTCTCCTTGGAGACATGCCACCGCCGGGCTGGTGCAAACCAGGGCTGCCCGCCAAGGGATCTTCGCAGGAGCCTAGTCCCTCAGGGCACGAGGTATAGGGCCTTCACCCTACCAATAATACTTAGGTGCATGTTTCTGGTCTCTTCTAGTAAGACAGCGTCTGACTCCACTTGCGCGCGGAGTCCCCGTTGTGCCCCTATATTGAGGCACCAGTGACAGTGCTTTCCCAACAGAGGTGGTCACAGCCCCATTAATCATTGCCTGTAGGCCTTCCTGGGTTGGGGCGTCCATAGCGGTATGGCGTCTTAACCGTAGCGTGACCCTAGGGGCAGGAATGATTGGTGTCACCCCAGATAGTATGGCAGCAGTGCTTACATGGACACCCACCTATCTCTGTGTTAATAGTGGGTATGGGGTATTCCCCAGTAATATTCCCCCAGGACTGCAGCCAAAAAGGGGTTCGGGCACAGACAGAGCAGGCCAATCAAAGGGGCACAGACAGAGCAGGCCAATCAAAAGGGCACAGACAGAGCAGGTCAAACACGGGTGCTGTATTAAGACAGCAGTAAGGACCAATGTGTGTGAGTAGGGTCTCCAGATATGATTACAGGTCCTCAGGGTATATTGGTGCCAACTACCCCAATACGCAAAAGGCCTTCCAGGCAGTGACACAATATAGGAGTAACACTAAACCAGGCAACTGGTAGTCTCCTAAAGCCTATAGCTAACCACAGGTAAAACTCAGCTGCAGAAAATCCCAATGCAGCACAGACTACAACGTATAGAGAAACACCCCTTTAAATCGTCTAAGGAGCCGGCCACGGCAAAGCGGCTACATGGAAATAAGTCCCGGCCGCCAGGTACTCACGCTGCTCGCGAGTACCCCAGGGGCCATTAGACAGCACACGGGACAGTCGGATGCACACTCCGTGGTCCCGGAGCTCGGAGGTTCAGAGGAGGCAGGTTGCATACAGCCTCCTGAAACCTCTGAGCGGTAAATACTGCCCGAAAAATAAAAAACGTCAGAAGGTAGATAGAGATAGTGGCAATAAACAAGGGGGGAGCAGGGAGGAAAACCAAAAGGTATATGAAGCCACAGTAAGGCCCACAAATCCAAATACAGTCTAACAAAAAATTTAGTCAGTAAGCATAAAACATACAGAAAATCCCCCAATAAACATCTATAAAGAACTGTAGATAAGCAATAAATCCCACAGCTACCCACTAAAAGCAGGAGGCAGTGGTACTTTGACCTGTACTTATGTGGAGCAGCAAAGAAAGAGGAAATTATGTGTGGGGAGGGGAGTTTTATAGTACAGTGGGACCTCGGTTTACGAATTTAATGCATTCTCCGGGACATTTCTTATTGTGAAAAATTTGTAAACCGAAACGCGGTTTCCCATAGGAATGCATTGAAAACCAATT